GTCTAATTCTTTTCTCCTTATTTACTCCATAGACTATCCTATTCACATGTAATATTAAAGAATCACCTATAACAATAACCTCATGTTTTCATTCCTATCCTGTCTGTCCTTTTTGTTATCCTTCCCTCCAATAGTTTTATCTGCATAAGCCAACACTGAAGTCTATTACTCAGTAGAACCTGCTCATTACAGTTAAATCCACTACTACTAGCTCTATTAGTACTGTTTCTAACTTCCTGAAAGTCATTATTAACCATTGTATACTTTGCATGCAAAAGCTTAAGTTTTTTAAATCCTCAGGCCATTTCCAACAACTTATCTTTTTCTTTATCCATCACTTCTATCCTATTTAGGATAGCCTCTAATTCCTCCTCCAACCTAAAAACTCTTCATGCCAATTTTACATCTTTACCACTTGCTTCGTTAAATGTGCATGCCAGTCTCAAATCACCATATAATAAAACTCATTCTTTGCACTGTACAAAATAGGAATGTTTAACACCTACACTACTCATAAACCATTGTAGCCTGGGAGTAAATAATCAACACTAAATACAAATAACCTATTGACAACACTGGTAAGCCTAACATTAGAGTTAAATATACTATTTTATCATTACTTTATCTTCTTCTTAAAGTAATTAAGTTTAACTTTAAGATAATCTAAAGCCTAGGTATTTGTCACTTATGTTTATGTAATAATAAAATTTATTTAGCCTGTTTTACAACTTATCTGTAACTAAATAAGCTTAAAGTATATCTAAAGTCACATTATGCTTGCTAAGCTAAACTGTAGATTAACTCTTTCAATACGGGGTCAGTCAATGTTATGACCTTGAAGCCATTTTGTGCTTGTTATAGTTTTCATGCTATAACTTTTAAATTAGTAAGCGAATGTTAACGAAATTTGTCAGATTATCAGTAAACATTACAATGCTTTCATATGCAAAATATCTATTTTTTTTATTAAGTCGTAAGGTTTATAAAGTAATTTTAATTTTAAGATTAAAAGTACTTTTATGCATCAGAAAATTTTGAAATTTCATATGTAAAATCTTTATAATGTCTGGATAGTTATCAAATGTTTCTTAAGAAAAAAACTATTTTATCTGTTTTTTTCTTTTTTAGTAATTAATTTCTGTACGGGTTTGGTAAATTTGAATGATCTCACACCATCATAAATAATTAGGAAATAAACATAAATTATGCCTCTTTCATTCTAGAATGAATACAAATTATAACACGCAAATATAAATGGTTAGACGAAATAGCGTAATTCTCATAACATTATACATTTATATATATATTATTTTTATTATATTGTCCTTTCACCCATGCCTGGCTAACAATACAGAAGTTACAATGACAAGGCTCATGTGCACTCATGTTACCGTATCAAATAACATAAAACTGACCTTTGGTCTATATTTTAATTATTATACATTATATATGTATATAGATTATTACTATTTTGAAATAAGTTCTTAAACATATTTTTCCTAAAACATAGAACAGTAAATAAAGAAGTAGAGCAAACAATTATCTCTTCTAGACCTTTGTACTAAGTTGCTGCTTGACATAGGTTGCTAAGCCTTGCCTTTCAGGATTTGTTAATACTTCTCTCTCTCACATTTAATTATATATCATCTATAACCAATAGAAAGTCAGTATTTCCATCTGTCAAGTAAGGTAATATATTACATTGTGTTTTGAACAAATATATGTCAATTTCAGTTATAACAGAAGCTTCATTCCCATGGGAACTTTAACGACTAGTTTGGGAGAATTTGTAATGGCTATAGTCGCATAGTTACGATTGAAAAATATAAAACGTTTACTATCAGTTTGCTATCAAGTGATCTCAGGAGTCCGACGGAGAAACCCTATTTGTAATGGAAATGCCAACATGTTTAGAACCTCCAGAAATTTCTTTTGCACCCCTAAGAGGTGCATGCACCACAGGTTAAGAAACACTGCTGTAGTGATAAAACCTAAAAGTGTCCAGTCTGAACTCAACTAGAATACACCACAATTCTAGACTTTAATAATCTTGAAATAATTACAAGAATGCTATAACCTACAACTACAAGTATTTCTTTGTCTTAGAGCACTGTGTCATTCATCTTGAAAATGTACAGTAAATTAGTTAATGTTTGTCCAGTTGTAGATTATAAGAGGTTTAAATATTGTAGATGATTGGTATGCAGCAAGTGACAAAGTGGTACATTTACACGACCTTTCATGCAAAATAGAAAGTTGTTCAACAAGGTAACGCAACTAGATCATGGTTAAAGTTTTTGGAATACATTTCTAAAATGTCAGTTAAAACATCTGTTATGTAGTTTGAAAAGTATCATCATATTTTCTTGGAATAATTGCAATAAAATGTTTATAATGAATTATATAATACCACAATTAAAAGTATTGCTTACATGTTAGATCACCAAACTGATCGATAGACCAGTCAAAACATGTGACACTAATAGATATAATCAATTCTCATAGGCAGTCGATTATATTGATGAAGTGAGTCAGTTGTCAAGCTCTGCATATTATTACTGTCTTCTTTTGTAAACTTTTACAATCAAATTCGGGTTATGTAGAAAAGTGTTGGATGAACCACGTAAAATATGGACAAAATATTCTGCATACATGCAGGGTGGAGCAGAAGTTACTATACAGTTTGTAGTAATGAAAATGTTACAAAAACAACTGTAACCAATTATTGTTTGATTCAGATTAACACGTCAGAAATTAAACTGTTCTAAACGAAACAACCATATAGTCGCTTTGTCCCACCTGGTATGTAAGTGTCATAGGCAGTGCATTCCACTGGTTTCTGGAAATGACAGTGTATCATTACATTATTTATATTGTAGTGAAATTTTTTTACAATATTCAAGATCATTGTAGAAAATGTGTAAAAAAATGGTGTGTATATAATAACTTTCTTTATAATAAATAGGTTTTGCAAATTCATATGATATTTTACATATTTGAATAAACAAGTTTACTTTGATTCTTCGAATTTGAAAATACGATAGAATAACATATAAATATATTAGGGAGAAACATGATGATAACATGTAACATCAAACTTAAAATTCAATGTCTAGCACTAGCGGCTGGCATTTGCTTTAGTTCGTATTTGAGGGAAGTTTCTAATTTAATTGTAAAATAATTTTGTTTTTAAATGTTTTATCTGTATCCTTTGCTCAATGTTTAAAGACATTTATGTTATAGAAGCAAATGATATCTAAGTAATAGCATTAAAAAAACTGTTTAACAAAGAAAGCTATTAAGCATATCATATTGCACCTTTGTTTTTGCACTTATATGTTAAGTTAGACTAACTTGTGTTACATTATTAAGTAATATAAGTGAGAACACATCTTAGGTATTCACACTTAGAACTGGGAGATTAATGTTGTTTGCTAATCAGTTAATTGAAGACCCCATTAATTAATTAATACATACAAGAAAAGAAAAATTAGTGGCATTGGCAAATAGCCTCAGTAGCTTTGCCATAACAAAAACGTGGTGAGAAAGTTTGGTAGCAAGGGGAATCACCCCTGAGGCCCTTGTATCTCAAAACCCCACCCCCCTCCTCCCCTGAATCACCAAAGCTGAACAGCTTATAAGGCTAAAATTGGGTAGAGTACTGATAATCTATTATGTAGCTTTGTGCTTAACAAGAATAAAACATATTTCAGTTATTTGGATAGTTGGGATAATCAAAAATAGTATAAATTAGTTGATTATGTTTTGTTATTTTTGTTATAAATAGAGATTTGATTAATCGATTATCAAGAACAGTAATAATCAGAAATTTTTTTTAGATGATTAATAAATTGGTGCAAGTAACACTAATTGATGTAACTGCTGCTCATAGGTAATCAATTAAATTGTACGACAGTACTCACTCCCATGAACAGAAGTTTGGAAATTTTAGTTTGACTAGTGGTTTCCCAGTAAAATGAACACAATGTAAATACATATCGGAACTGATTAGTCATTTATGTTTACGTGATTAATGGAAAACTGAATCTAAATGATCTGAAATGACATAAGTTGACTAAACATTTTAAATTTATCCTGGTTTAATTGATTTTATTCAAGCAAGAAGTGTCAAAAAGTACTAAGTTATCTTTGATATAAGTAAGTTTAGAATATCTAGAAGAAATGAATGTTTCTCTATTTATTGCAAGTATTGTCTTTGTCATGCATTTATGTCAGTAAATAGGAATTACAGTATTTTTTGCTTGTTTCTTACTGTGAGTATTTATTAATTTCATTGTTGTGAAGTATATACACACCTATATTTGAGTGACTTATAATTATTGTAGGTTCAAACAGTTTAATATTTGCTTAATGGTTTACATACAGGCCTATTCCACACTAGTGCAGGAAATCTGGTTTGCCAAACTGCATGTGTGAATGAGTGTAAGATAACATTCCACATGAAAAAAAAAGTAACTTAAAAATCTCAGTTGAGAAGCACTAAATACACATAATATTCCAAGCAAAAGATTTATTGAAATTTCCAAACCTAAACAATATATAAATACAAAATCAAAATGTGTATTTTTGATAAATTGGAACTGTTTAAAAATTTGTATTATGTTTTATGCAATTTGGTTAAGTATTTCTGCTGTGAGAAGGAAAAAAAATCTGGATATCAATGACACTCTTCCAGTCCAAATGTTGTTTGCTTAATACTCATTTTACCTAAAAGTTTAAAGCATATTCATGATCACCTATGTTTATTAAGATAAATCATCTCAGTTCAGTCTTATATTTAGAGGTAAAAAAGTACTGCTACTACTTAAGTTAGATATAAAAAGTATACTTTTAAAAACCTATGCATATGCTACATATTTGCGAATCAAACATTTATTACAATTTCCAGATTTTTTGTCAAGTATAACAATTTAAAAGTCTGTGTGTCTTTTTTCTCCTTTGTAAAATGTGCTATTCTTAACATTGTGTTTATTAAACAGATGGGAGATCTTCCTGTTTCCAGAGGTCGTGGAGGACCAAGAGGAATGTCCCCAAGAACACGAGGAGGCTCATTTACAAGCCATGGAAGTCCAGATGGAAGGTATGTGTTTTTTTCTTTGTGAAGAATGTGCATAAACTCATTTTGCTCAAAGGGCTTTATTTAACTGAAAATTAGCCTTAACCTTTCCCAGTTTTATGAAGTTTTGATGTGAAAGTTTTTAGAGAATGGTGATGTAACTTGTGTTAACCTGTACCTACTGGTAATATGACTAGTCTCCATTATATGTACTCCCTTTTTTCTGATTTATAATCAATGTTACAAAGTACAATATGGCTTAAACAACATAGGCTCTTCTGAGAGCACTTGGACATTTTCAAACAACTTTTTATGGTATGTTAATAAACTTTATTACCTTAAAAAATTCACCAATAAAATATCTTTTTTTCTGAAACTCAACTAGGTTTGGCAATACACCTATATGAGGTGTTAGTTAACTGAATACAAGTCTCATTGTTGAAAAGAAAATTATTTAAAAATACATGAAATGTGACCAATAATACTGTTGCTTATTGAAAAAATAAAACAAAGAAATATCAAAGTACTTATTTTAAACATTTTTCTAACATAAAAAATTCTGAATAGGTTTTACAATTAATAATTTTATTTGTTTTTAATGAATATTTATTTCTGGGTTTATGATATTCTAACAATGTATATAAATAAATGGGCTAATTGGCTTCTTAATGATTTCTAATTGTAATCATGAAACATTTTAAATATTACTGTTACCAGTGATAGCAAAACATGTTTTCATTATTTGATTACCTCTTTGTTTAAACTTTTTGCAATGGGTACCCCTTGAAAAACTATACTATCAATTTATGTGAATTAAATCACATATTATATGTTATGATTCATAGTTTTATTTTATCTCAGTTTTAAGTCCTTTATTTCAAAATAAACCTCTATAAAACTACTTAAAACTTCAAATGTATTGTCACATGACCAATAAGATGTGAAAATTCTCTACTTTGACACTCTTGTATCTTGAATAATGCAGTGGCAGTTGTGTAGCTGTACATCTAGACAATAAGATGCTTACTTAACCTTTTAACTCATACTTTTCAAATTTCCCTGAATGAATTGAGTTCAAACAAGTACTAGATTTTGTCAACCCCAAAACAGATTTGTTTGAGCTTTACAGCCTACATGTACAGGTTACATATTTATGTATATACTCATTAGAAAGAGCTGCTTTTACACTATAATCTAACAATGGTTATTTTGAAATGAACACATTCTTGTCATAACAGAGTACATATAACTGACTCTAGTATTGTTGGCTGGTTGATTGACTATAGCACTTACAGTTAATTCTTACTAGATAAGTTATAGTTAAAGATACAGTTTAATTTGTATTTAGGTCATACTTTTATATTTCAGTTAATTAAGTATTAGTTATGTTTTAAAATGTATAATTAAAAGGTTTTAAATATTTTTAAAATATACATCATATTTTGCATCAGTTCTCAAGACTTACGATATTACGAGGTGCACAAATATTTTTGCCGAGGGTTACTCATGTCTGCTAGAGATACTGTAATATGTCTCCAGGGCACTGTTGACTTGTGTCATAATGAGAAATAAATGGTGAAGGAGAAGAAAGGAAAATGAAACATCAAAAATTAAATATATGTGAAAAAGAAAAGACCTGAAATTACGAACTTAAAAAAGGAAAATATTTAAAGATATTCTACAAAAAATTAAATGATATGTACTTTTTTTTATTTCCTAATTTTAATCATTTCATTCCATTGTACATTGATGATAATAGCTAGAGTTAATGATATGGTAGAGAAAATGGAAAATAAAAATAAACATTTACCTTAAAAAACTTTTGATATTCATTTAGGAGGTTCTAGAGGTTGTGAAAATGAAATAGGAAAATTATAAGATGAAGAAAGGTATCTTTATACTTAAAATCAAAATTATCTTGCACTCTAACTGTCTTAACAGTTTGAGTGCATATAACTGCTCTAGATAAATAAGTTTTATTAGAAAGATGTAATTAAAATAATGTCATTCTTTGTGTACAAAATATGTATAAACTTTATCATAATCTTACAAATTGAATAGAGTTGTTTAAACATTATGTACCAGCTGCTTAATGTCGGCTAACAATACTAAGAATTAAATTTTGGCGGAATGCTTCTTCAAATACATATAGAATGATGGGTTTCTTTTTTGTGAGTGTAAAACACTTAAATATACCATTTTGATAATCTTATGAAGTTTTGTGAGAAAGTGATTGTAAAGTAGCAAATGTTAAGATTTAGCATTTAAAATTCTATGACAAGGTAGATTAGAGTAATCGATTCGATGAATGCAATCAATTAATGGACTGGATGATTAAACAATTGGCAAATCCACTAATATGTTCCCTGAAAGCATAATGACTTTTTTCCCATCCAATTAATTTGTTTTGGAGTTAATGTGACCACTGGTATGTAATGTTTAATGTTAATAAAAACTATTCAGGGAAAACTGTGAGAAATGACAGCAGGAGGAGCTTAACATTTTACATGCAAGGGATACATCAGCTAACAATGACTTTCAGAAAATTAGAGTACTATTAGGGCTAAAACTAAAAGTATTGGACTTATTTTTAATGAGCCTATTCTATTGAGCAACTGATTTAAGCCCTTGGCTTGTGCAGATGAGGAACTATTGGAAGGAAGAAAAACAAAAGGGTCAGAGAAGGATGTGGATGATAAATTTAAGGAGGTTATAGTTATAGGTGATTCCTTGACAAGATATGTGGATAGGATAGTCTGTGGGGTAATTAGGGAGAAAAGAATTAGATTATGCTACCCAGGGGCACAGATGGAGGATACAACTGACAGAGCAGGAGATATAATAAAGGGGGCTAGAAGAAATGCAGTTTTTGTAGTACATATAGGGAAATGATGTAGGGAAAGGTAGGTCAGAGGAGCTAATTAATAAGTACAAGGAGTTCATAAAGGCATTTAAAGAGGAGGGCCAAAACTAAATTGTGTCAAGGATACTGCCAAGAATTAATGGTGGAGATGAAATTATGAGTAGGTCACTAGGGCTAAATGCTAGACTTAGGTTAGCCCTTTGAGCACGGGAAGAAATTACAATCCACTTGACTTGGGAAGTACATTTATACAACAAAAATATGGAAACTCCAAGCATTCCTCACAGAAACTGGTAAGATTTTGTTAAAGTTTATAAGTATTTTGTACACAACGAATGACATTATTTTAATTCCGTATTTCTAATAAAAATGTTATTTATCTATAATTATTTGCACTCAAACTGTGAATAGTTCGAGTGCATGGTGATTTTCACTTTAAGTATAAAAATACTTTTCTTTATCTTATCAGTTTTCATATTTTATTTTCCTAACCTCTAGAACCTCCTAAATGAATATCAAAAGTTTTTTTAAGGTAAATATTTTCGTATATTTTTTTCATTTTCTCTACCATATCACTAACTAGCTATTATCATCAATGTATAATGCAATAAAATAATTAAGATTAGGAAAGAGAAAAAAAATACATACTTTTTAATTTTTTGAAGAATGTTTTTAAAATTTTTCCTGTTGGTACATTTGTAATTTCAGGTCTTTTCCTTTCTTGTCCTATACCACTTATTATTCATCAAGACACAAGTCAACAGTGCCCTTGAGGTATATTATAGTTTCTTTGAGAGACATGTGCAACCCTACAGCAAAATTTTCACTCATTGTGTAATATTATGAGCCTTAAGAATGTATGCAAAGTATGATGTATATTTTTAAAATGTTGAAAACCTTTTAATTATGCATTTTAAAACATAACTAATGCATAATTAACTATAACATATTTAGGTTAGAAACAACTAAATACTACAGTCAGTTACATGTACTCCATGATGACAACTGGGTATCAAATTCAAAATAATTGATGTTAGATTATTGTGTAAAATGAACTCTTTGTAATGATTATATACATGTGTATGTAACATCTACATGTAGGCTATAAAGCTCAAATTAATCTGTTGTAGATAGGCATAGCACCTGTCAGGGATAGAAAAAATTTATTACTTGTCTTAACTGTATTCATTTCAGAGAACTTTGAAATGTTTAAGTCAAAAGGTTATGTAAGTATCTTATTGTCCAGACATACCTCTACTCAACTACCATCGTATTATTCAAGATACAGAGAGCCGAAGTAGAGACTTTTAATAGCTCGTTGGTAACATGACAATATATCTGAAGTTTTAAGTATTTTTTAAAAGTTTATTTTGAAATAAAGGACTTAAAACTTAGATAAAATAAAACTTCAAATCAAAATATATATTATAATATTAAATTTTGAATGTAACACAGTGATTTGCACAGAAAAGCATTTAAAGTAAAATGTGAGTTACATCCTGTGGAAGATATCAAAGATAATAGCAAGGAGATTAATCCATTTGGGCTTCTATTAGCAGATATAAAGGGAAAAGGCTTTCAGTAGAAATTTGTTACAGACTACCAGATGATACTGATGAAATTAGTGAGAAACTTTACACTGAGATTAAGATTTCAGCTTTTAATGAGGTCATAATTGTGGGTGATTTTAATTTCAGACATATATATTGGGAAATGCTAGCCAAACCATGAGGGAGAAATGTTTTTTGGAAACTGTTCAAAATGGTTTTCTTCACCAATTCATCAAGGAACCTACTAGAAACTGCTACTTAGATGTATTGTTAACTTCTAATATAGAAATTGTTGAGAGGGTGGAAATTGGAGAACATTTGGGTGCAATTGATCATTTCTCAATTAGGTTCAATGCTTTGCTGCTTAAAGAGATCAGGAATAATGATATTTTAGTTACAAATTTCAGAAAAGCAAGTTTTGAAGGGATGTGAAAAGAATTATCTGTTGTGAACTGGGCAGCAGAGTTACTTGGAGACACTGAACAAATGTGGAAAATTTTTGAAGAATAAATTTTTAGATATTCAAGATAAACATATTCCTTATAGAAAGAAAAGGGTGGCTGCAAGTAAAACACCAGGTTGGCTCACAAAGGGTATAAAAGATAGAAATAAAAAAGTCCACAAATTTGAGAAATTTAAATTGACTGGTATGATGAGAGATTAGAAGATCAAGAAAGTTGGTCAAACAGGAAATTAGGAAATCAATAATAATGTATGAAAAAAGGTTGGCTGAAAATGTAAAAATTTACAGTAAGGATTTCTTTAAGTATGTTGAGGGTAAATAAAATGTTAGAATGGGGGATAGGATCCTTGAAGGATGATAAAGGAAGACTCGTATCTGATGATTATGAGATAGCTGGGCTATTAAATTTTGTTTTTTTCTTTGGTTTTTTCCTTACGAATATTTAAGCAGTGTTCCCCTTTTTGAACAGTTGATAGATGGAAACAAGATCAAACAAGATGACTGCATTAATTCTGAGCTGTTTAAGAAAAAATTGGGAAGTTTAAAAAATGATAAGGCTCCTGGGCCAGATAATATTTCCC